TGGAAGATGCTAAACCTCCAAAGCTCCATAGACCTCAAGTTGTGTTGATAAAACATTCATTCCTCTGTGGAAAGGCCAAAGAAGGAGTTTTAACTGATGTTAAATAACATTTATCCATCTGCCTTGCATGATCTGCATCTCAGTGATGCCATGAGGAGCAACAAGGATGACTGAGGAGCAGAGATACTGTTAATGGTCCTTAAAACCCCAGAAGTGCCACAAGTTTAGCTCTGTTGGACCCAAGAGAACCATTAGGGAAATGGCCCAACAAAGCCTGGATTTACAGAAATTGGAGTCAAACTGATATCAGGAATATCCTGCATGACAAATGTAATCACTCTTCTCTATCTGAGTAATCACTTGCTGCAAAATGCATCACCTAAAGGCTCCTGCTGGCAGCAAGTGTCATTTTTCACATGGGTCGGGAAAGTCAGTTTCTTTCCGAGCTCATTAGAGAACATGAATTTTGTGTTTCATCTTTGTGTTGCTTCAGTGTTTTACTTGACACCTTCTCGTACTGTGGGGACATGTTTGAGCTTGTGGTTGCTTCTGACAGGGGGTGGATTGTATTTTTCTGCCTTTCCTCATTTCCCTCTCATCTGATAATGGATTCAGACTGAATTCCACCTCATTTCTTCTCAAGAGAAGTAGTGTGGGAGTGGGACAGGTTGCCAAGAGAGGCCACGTGAGCATCCAACCATGGAGATGTTCTCAGCTAAGCAAGTCACAGCTGGCCTGATGTGATGTGGGCACTAATCCTGCACCACCTGGGAGGCTGAATGGAAGGACCTTTGAGGTTTGTGGATCATTTGGGAAGCAGAAGCACCTTTGGAATGTTTTAGCCTGAGGTTTGGTGTTTCAGCTGTAAAACAGTCACACGTAATAGTAAAAGTTGCTTTCAGCTGGACAAGTTGTTTGGGCTTTGGTTGGGTTTAGCACTGTGTGTGTGATACAACCTGTAGTTCAGGTCTCCTGGCAGCTCTCAGCACTGACTTGTGCATATCCTGGATTTCCTCTGAGCAGTAGGAGAGTAGGACATGTTCTGCCATTTCTTGCCATGAAGTCTTCCAGTCACTGAGCTCAGAGCAGAGAGTTTCTTTTCTCTCTTTCTCTCTTTCCTCAACCAGGAAAAATTTCTTCACTAAAAGAATCATCCAGTGCTGGCACAGCTGCCCAGGGCCATGGTGGAGTCACCCTTACTGGGAGGGATTTAAAAGCTGTATGGATGTGGCACTTGGGGACATGGTTAGTGGTGGCCTTGGCAGTGCTGGGGGAATGGTTGGACTCGATGGTCTCAGAGTTCTCTTCCAACCTAAATTATTCTGTGATTCTATGAATATTACTGCAGTTAATGCCGGGAAGACTTGGAAAGGGAAAGAAAAAACATATCCTAGCTCTGATTGTGGCTTTTCACATTGCTGCTGTTGGGCCTGTTAAGGTGTTCTGACCTGTCCTACCACAGAGGAGTATTTTGGTACTGTCGCAATTTATCCAGCAAATCCTTCACACCAACATGTATTTCTCCCTAAAAAAGGTTTTTTTCTTAGCAAAGCAGGAAGAATGCAGGAAGAATTTCACAGTGGACTAAGAAAACCCATTTTCTCTTCCCAGCTGAAAGTGGGGAAGCACACTGTTAAGGTGTTCTGACCTGTCCTACCACAGAGGAGTATTTTGGTACTGTCGCAATTTATCCAGCAAATCCTTCACACCAACATGTATTTCTCCCTAAAAAAGGTTTTTTTCTTAGCAAAGCAGGAAGAATGCAGGAAGAATTTCACAGTGGACTAAGAAAACCCATTTTCTCTTCCCAGCTGAAAGTGGGGAAGCACAGGGACAGCACTGACTTCTGCGGGACGGGACCAGTGACAGGACCCAGGGAATGGCCTGAAGTTGTGTCAGGGGAGGGTTAGGTTGGATATTAGAGAAGGATTTTTCTCCCAGAGGTGTTTGGGCACTGAACAGCTCCGCAGGGCAGTAGGCACAGCCCCAAGGCTGACAGAGCTCAGGGAGTGTTTGGCCAGCACTCTCAGGCACAGGGTGGGATTTTAGGGTGTCTGTGCAGGGACAGGAGTTGGGCTGATGATCCTTGTGGGTCCCTCCCAGCTCAGGATGTTCTAAGATTCTGTGATCCAGACAGCCCATTCCTTTTCCATTTGTACGCTCTGTGCTGTCAATATTAACTGCAGATGCAAAGTACATCTCTTGACATTTACCAAATGTTAGGACACTCAGTTCTGTGCAGGTGGTGTCCCTTTGCTTCTCCTCACAGTCATTAGGGACTGCTGAAGCAAGTGACAGTGGAGAAACCTGATGACAACAGTTCTGTCAATAAACTCCCACTCTGAGCAATAAGCTCCCACCCCCTCCCAGCTCCCCAGGCTCCGCTGCTCGGCACCATCACAGACTGGAATCTCCAGGCTCAGGACAAGAAGTTGTGCCACTAATCCTGTGGTGTCTCTGCTTATTTAATGAAGAATTAGGAATTAGGTGACTGAACTGATCCTGCATTAACAGTTCACATTCATTCCTAACCTGGGCCCTTAGGGAATGGAGCAGCAACAGGTAAAACCCTCTGTGATTAACAATCCAAGGGGTTACCCTGTTTAAAATATATTCTAATTCCCACTTCAGTTTGTATTCTTTTCTCAGTGCCTAGATAAAATTTCTCTTGGGTTGTTTGAAACGACTTCATTCCCTTATGCAGTGACATATCAACAGGTGTACCGAGTTGTGTCCCACTCTGAGTCTGTCTGTGAGCTGCAAGGAGTGTTGGTGATGTTGGGGTGTGCACCTGGCTGAGCTCTCCACCCCCAGGTGTTACCCATCCTCTCTCCAGAGCTTTCAGCACTTCTGTAGCTAGTTCTGTTGCTCTCACCATTATTGCAAGGGACATTCTGTCCCTGCCTTTGTGCCTTCTTCTTCTTCCCTGCCCTCATTCATGTCATTAATCTCCTTATTTAGCTTTTCATAATGCAAATATTTACACTTCATTTAACAACACAACCAACAATTTCCTCAGCCAGAAGTCCTTGTAGGGCAGAAGATGATCGTGGCTCAGTCTCAAACCAGAGACTGCAGACTCTTCAAGCCACTCAAGCTTTCCAAGAGTGGCTAAACGTCTCACCGAGGTACCCAACCAATCTGTGAAGCATCGAGGCTGCAGTAATAAAGTGAAAGATTTGCCATCTGATTATTTCTGCTTGCTTTGGTTAATTGCAGTTCGAAAATGAGATCATCACTAAACTGGATCATGAAGTGGAAGGAGGCCGAGGAGATGAACAGTACAAAGTGCTATTTGACAAAATGTAAGTGTTGATCAGCAGCAAAATTTATGTCACACTGAAGGCAGGAGAGAGAGAGCAATTAGACTACAATGAACTTTGTGGCCCAGAAGTAATTAAAATGTGTTAACGATTCACAGTGTTTCCAGTTGCACCTGAGTCAAGGGGTTTTTTCCTGCCTGTGATTAACAAGGCAAATGTAATTGGGTTTTTCAGTCTCTTGGAGCACTGCAGGAAACACAAGTACCTTGCTAAGAGTGGAGAAACTTTTGTCAAGCTGGTTGTTCGCCTCATGGAGAGGTTATTGGACTACAGGACCATCATGCACGATGAGAACAAGGAGAACCGCATGAGCTGCACCGTCAACGTGCTGGTAAGCAAAGAGGAGTCCCAGGGTGGTGGAGTCTCCATCCCTGCAGGAGTCTAAGAGGTGTCTGCATCTGGTGCTGGAGGATTTAGGGGTTCCAGCAGTGACAGGTTAATGGTTGGACTTGATGATCTTAGAGGTCTCCTCCAACCTTGATGATTCTGTGATTGCATGAAATGACGACTGCACTCTGAATTTTACACCTTCAGCACAGGCTTTGTGGAAGACAGAGTGTCTGGAGGGATTCTCATGAAAATCTGGAATGCTCTTGGGTTTTTTTCCTATTTCGGTGGAGGCAAATCTATGACCACATGGGTTGTTGGTTCTTTAGTCGATTCTAAGGAAAGGTTTAAGGAGAAATGTAGCAGGGCCTGGTCTTGGAGGGCTGTTCATTGGCATTTGCAGTTGATGTCTGAACAAGTCTATGCAGGAAAATATTTGACATACAGAACTGACTGATTCTGTGATTCTGTGGCATACAGAATGTTGGAGTTCTGTGCAGTTTACTGCCTCAGTTTTCAGGGTTTTTTCATGTATTCTTCTTACTTCTCACCCAGAACACTCAACGTTTTTGAAGACATTTGAGCGTATTTCATTCAGAGCAGAAAAAAATGGGGTTGTTTTCCTCCTTGATGTGAAATTTCCTCCTCATAGTTCCAGAAATTGTGGACTGTCTACTCCATCCTCAAACCTTTGTCCATTTAGTCTAGAGTTGGAAGCAGTAGTTGTCTCCACAGCACACACATCGTGGCCTTTGTGGAAGCATTAGAGAATGAGATTTTTCCAAGCCTAAAATCAGCACATATGGAAAGTAACTTTTAGAAACCCCCAAAATAATACTAAGTAGACTTGATTTTTCCAACTGGACTCAATATTAGACTGTTTGAATTCTGAGCTTTCATCCCTGTATCGTCAGCAAAGCTTTTATTGAGCTTCAATCTGTGGGGCACAGCCAGTGTTTGTCATTTAGGTGCTATGGCTGATGGACCTCATTCAGAAAAGAGCTGAGTGAATAGTTTGTAGCTCCAGCACTTAGTGCAGCCATCCTGGGCTGGTGCAGTGAAGCCTTTACACCACACCATTGCGCCAGCCATAAACAGAATGGTGCCCATTAGAGCAGGAGAAGAGACTGAGACATCAAATCAGAAATTGGACATTTATTTTTAGTCTGTTTTCGCTCTCTGTGCACATCAAAAAGCATCAGAATGTTTAGGAGATGGGAAAAGAGGAGGGACTTGGAGAGTTGTCACCAGCTGTTGATGTAGCAAGTGCTGTTTGGTTGCCTGCAGAAAGGTCAGCGCGTCCTCCCGAGCTGAATTGTGTTGCAAAATCCTGCCAGTTCACACAAGGAGGACAGGAAATAACAAATCACATCCACCATATGCTGTAAAATGTGACAACAGTTTATAAAACTGGGAAAATTTCCTCAGGAAGGTAAAATGGTTTCTCTTTGTAGTCATTCTGGGAGTCTCCTCCCAATGACTCTCACCATCCCAACTATGGGGGATCCATGGCACACTTGGGGGTTGGGTTTGTTTTCTCCAAGTGTCTCCAGCATCATCTCCTGATGCTGATTTTTGGCAGCTGAATCTCTCAAGCATTTGCAGATGATGAATTTTGTGGGTGATTTGCTGCTGTCAGGTTCAATCACCACGGGAGATCCACACAGAAGCTGCCACGGAAGAAGAAGCAGAGTCCACGGGAGAGGCAGGAAAACATCACAGGGCAGAGTTTTCCTTGGTTTGCAGCAGTCATGATTTAAACCTTTAGCTTGATGTTAAACTCCCATTTGCCCTCCAGGGCCAACTCAGCCCTTTCATCATTCTCCAGGCACCTGAAGGGGCATTCATGGCCTTGCAAAGATCTACCCCAGGGCTGATACTGAGCACAATTCCCACCTGAGGTCTCCAGGAGTTCTTAATTGGGGCTTTAATGATGCAGAGGCTTTCACAGGATTCAGTTTGTCTGTGTTGACTCTAGCTTTAAGTTGGAGGGTTTGATTTGCATTTAAATCAGTTCTAGTGGGGAAGGGGATTGAGCACAAGTGTGATGAGGAGCAGGTGATGGAGGTGTGGGGGCTGAGCCTGGAGGCTCAGGTGGGACCCTACTACTCCCTGCATCTCCCTGAACAGGAGGTTGGAGCTAAGTGTGGGTCAGTTGTTCTCTGCTCCCAGGTAACAAGTGACAGGAGGAGAGGAAACAGCCTCAAGTTGTGTCATGGAAGGTTTAGATTGGATATTGGGGAAAATTTCTTCATGGAAAGGTTGTCCAGCCCTGACACAGGTTGCCCAGGGTGGATGTGGGACCTGCAGACGAAGGTGGGGCAGGAGCAGGGATTGTTCCTTGGGGAGAAGGAACTGTAAGAAACAGAACATGTGTCAGTGGTGACGTGTTTCCAAGACCTTCCCTCCTTGGTTGATTTGATGTTGCTTCTTGAACTGCATCAGGAGGGCAGAGCAGTAGGATAAAATGATTTTCCATGACGGATCCACCTAACTCAGAATCTCTTCCACTTTAAATAATCAAACAGAACACAAGTAGGAGAAAACAGCAGAAATTGTTCATGTGGTTCAGTGTTTTGAGTTGAACTCAAACCCAGTGAGAAGTTACACCACCTGGAATGGTTTATCCATGGAATAGCCCATCATTCCCTCTGAAATGTGGATTCTGTCTTGTATTCCACTTCTCTTTGAAGAGAACAGTTCTGTATTGGGTTTATCCATCTCTTACTACTGCACTTGTTTGTCTGTTAGTGGCTCCTCAAACGGCTTTAATTCAGTCCTGAAACATGTTTTAATTCACTGAAGGAGAAATTTCTTTGTATTTTGTTTTCTTAGATGTATATTTTAACTTTTGGAGGCAAACTTGAAATTAGATTCCGAAATGCCTTTAATATCTCACCCAGTTTATCATCTCCTGCATTTACAATGTTTGTACTGTTAACTAGTTTATCTCGAGGCCTGAGGCAGCGAGAGGAGAGAGATGCTAATGTGAGGCATAGGAAACAAGATAAATAGCACTAATCTAACTTTTTATTTCCAAAGAAACTATTAGAATTCCAGAGCAGATGATGTATTGCCCAACTGAGGTTCAGAGTTTTAAATCCATGGAACAACTGTTGCTTAAAAATTAAGGTAGGGTTTCTTTTTTGGTGTATTAGGAAATTTTTGGCTGAAAGTAGTTAATGACCTGTGACTTGCAGATGCCACAAGCAAACCTCTAGCAGTGCTGCTCTTGCAAATTCTTAACCTTTGCAGTGAGGCAGAAGTCCTAATCCTCTACAACGTGGAAACCTCACAGCATTGGACTTCTGAGTTAAGTAACTCGTGTCCCAGCACTGGAGGCAAATCTCATTGTGCCACGTGGAGGTTGATGTTATGCCATTACAGGTTGTTAATTTCCAGTGTGTTCTGTGTGTATTGCAGGCTCTGAAATCAAAGGGTTTGTAAGGAAATCCTGTTGGTTTTTTTCTTTTTTACAGAATTTCTACAAGGAGATTGAGAGGGAAGAAATGTACATAAGGTTTGTACTAACTGCCTGACGTCCTGGGGGGGAACTGGGGGGGACTCATTGAGCAGTCACTTGGGGGCTGGAGGAAATGTAATGGAAATCCACACCTTGACTGGACCCTAAGCCATTCAGCTTATCTTCACTGTGAACAGACTGCTGGAAGTTTGAGTTATGACGTTGCTTTTGTCCCCTTTGTCTGGCTCCTTCACTCCTGTTCCAGCAAGCACTGAAATACTCAGGAGTGAATGTTCTTTCCATGAAGGAAAGAAACAAGTCAAAAGAAAACTGAGCAAGGAATTAATGTTGCCTCCTGGTGAGGTGCAAAATATGTGACTTGGGGTCAAAACAACTCTGCAATAATGTCATTACTAAGGCTTATTTTAAGCTTAAAGCTTTGGGAACATTTCAAAGTCTGTTTTCACACCAAGTAAACCTGTCTTTATGCTCTCTGTAAACCTCAGGGTTCCTCCTCCTCCAGTTGTGCTTTGGCTTACAATTGGCTACACCATTGTGCTAAAGTGATGAAGTTTGTGACTGTGATGCTGTTTTAGGTATCTAAATGTTGGTCATTAATTTATTCTCAGGTGCTTGTTACCTTTTCTGGAAGAATTTTCACTTGTGGACTCATTTCCTGTTGTCTAAATGGTTTTAATTAGTGGTTTATTAGTTTGCAAAAAGAAAAGAGAAGGACAGGATGGATAACTGTGGACAACCACAGAAGTTCTTAGTTGTACTCCTCAGCTCAGCACCTCTATAAAGACAAATTGGGTAATCCCCACCTAAATTCCCTCCTGTTTCTGTTAACAAACTCCTAATGAATATACAAGTTGAAAGGATTTTCAGTGGCTTTTTTCAAAATGAAATTTGAATGGGGTTTTGTTGGGGTTTTTTTTTTTTTCAATTGTCACTAAAAAAGTCAACAAGCAAATGAAGAGAATCCCCTGCCAGAGGTGTGATGATACTGAATTGAGAGAAGAAAACTTCTCTCCCTCCATGGCTGAACAATTAGAGTTCTATATCCCTTGCACAACATCTCTATGGGGTTCATTACTCACCCCACGTCATTGATGTGGTGGTGATTGGTCAAAGGTTGGCTCAAAGTCTGGACCTCCAGTGATCTTGGAGGTCTTTCCCAGCCCTAATGTTTCCATGATGCTATGAGTGTGCATTGGAAAAAGAACACAGTGGAAATGCAAATGGTTCTAAGTGTTGTCTGCACACAGAAATATTTGTCTAGCTAGTAATAAAGGACTATATTTATTTAAATATTTGTCATATAGATTATATGTTTATTTGAAATGTATAATAAAGGGCCTTAAATCATCCCACAAATGCTTAGTTGTTTGAAGGTAGGACTTGATCCATTGTAATCTGCCAAGTAAATCGTTCAGTAGCATTTGAAGCCCAACCTTTTATAAACACCATTGTTTTACTCCTGGCAGGTATTTGTACAAGCTGTGTGACTTGCACAAGGAGTGTGATAACTACACTGAAGCTGCCTACACCTTACTCCTGCATGCAAAGCTGCTGAAGGTGAGCCCCAAAACACATCACAGGCTTGGAAAATCATGTCAGCAGTAACCTAGAGTAGAGTTTGTCACCCAGAACTTCTGCACTTGGAGCTGATTCGCAATTCTGTGCTGCTGCTTTGGTGATTTGGTTGTTTGCACGTGTAATTAATACATGGAGGAAAGCAACATGCTGACAGTAGTGTGTGGCAGAAGTGTATCTTGGCCTGAAATGAATGGACATGTGCCCAGGTGGGCAAGAGGTCAGTGGTACCAGCCACAGTGTGGCCACAGAACCAGGGCAGTGACCATTCCTCTGCACCTGGCACAGGTGAGGCCTCTCCAGTGCTGTGTCCAGTTCTGGATCCTCATGGCAAGAGACCTTGAGGTGTCCAGAGAAGGGCACTGGAGCTGGGGAAGGGTCTGGATTACCAGGAGCAGCTTGGGGAGCTCAGCCTGGAGAAGGAGTTGGCTCAGGAAGGACCTTCTCACTCTCTACAATCTCTGCCAGGAGGTGCAGCCAGGTGGGGTCAGGCTCTGCTCCCAGGGAACAAGGAACAGGATCAGAGGAAACAGCATCAATCTGTGCCAGGGGAGGGTCAGGCTGGATATCAGGAAGAATTTCTCTGTGAAAAGTGCTGTCAGGCATTGGAATGTGCTGCCCAGGGAGGTGGTGGAGTCACCATCCCTGGAGGTGTCCAGAAAACAACTGGACATGGCACTTAGTGCCCTGGTCTAGCTGACAATGTGGTGATGGTCACAGGTTGGACTTGATGATCTTGGAAATCTTTTCCAGCCTAAATGATTCTGTGTCTCTGTGAAGTGTGGTCAAGTCAGCACCAGAAACTATAAACTGCAAAGCTGTGGTTTAGATTTCTGTTAAATATCAAGACTCTGTGTTGTGTGGAAGCATCTAACCACAGCTCTCCGCAGTCTGTGTGCAAAGGCAATACCAGGGAGTGCTGGAGCCTGTTCTCGAGTGCTCCTGGGGATCTGTAATAGATTCAGCTTTGATTTGGGGAAATGAGAGAGATTCAAGCAGCTTTTCTTGTAATTTCATGCCTTGAAAAGGTGCATTGAGTTTAATGAAATGTTAGAGCATTTATGGCATGTTTAAACAGACACAACAGCATTGCTGTTCTTCAAGAAATGTTTTGGTGCAAGCTGCAATATATATCAATAACATCTCATCTGTAGCAAGTGTGTGAAATAAAGCATTAACACTCTCCAGTGTCAGCCAGAAATGTAAGGAAGGGGAAAACCCACTGGAAACCTTCTGGGTAGATGATGTTGGCTCCAACATGTGATTGTGTCACTGTAGTAGGAGCAGATACCAACTATGTTCCCCTTGTTATCCCAGAGAAAGATGCTGCTCCTACCAGCAGATCATTGTGTCATGAAATCACATGGTTAATACCACCAAGTCATCACTGAATTTGTAATTCAAGGGGGGGTTGTGTTTAATTTTAAAAAACATTTAATAGGAGAAGCAGAAATTGAAGTTTGATAAGAATCAGTGTGTTTGGAAGCATTTGCCATAGTCCCATTTGCCTTCGTCACATTTCATCACCCACAGTGAAGTCTTTCTCCCTCAGGGGGTCCTGGATCTCTTTCCACTCCCCTCAGGGCCAGCAGCACCCACAGTTGTGTGAGGAAGTATTTTCTCTCAGTGGGTGAGAGAACAGAGGGCAGAATGACTGCTAACTTAATTTTCCCCTTGATCTATTGCTCATGGCAGTGGCATTGCATCCTCCTGGGCTAGTGGAAGGTTCTCTGCCCATGGCAGGGGGTGGAACACGATGAGCTTTAAGGTCCTTCTAACCCAAAGCAATCTGGGATCCTTCATTACAGCAGCTGTGCTAATGGTGCCACATTTCATAAAGGAAATTTGTCTCACTCTAAGCAGCCAATTGTTCTTAGCAACCCTTTTAATTTGATTCAATTTAATATAAGCAATCCCAAGTGAAATGCAAGTGTAAAATGCCTATTTTGAGAAGCTGAACAGTGCAAGGTGTTAAATGAAATACTTCTGTACTTATTCATACCTCAGAGCTGGGCAAACTGCATCCGAGACATAGTAAGGGTAAATATGATGCAGACTACACATGTGCAATTTAAATTAAGATTCTTTGACAGGTGCTTACTGTATTTTGAAATAATTGGAGGGTTATTATACAAGAAAACATCAGGAAGATTCATCTGGAGTGGAAAAGCACTGAGCCGATAGCTTTATTTAGGGTTAAAAATAGGAGGGATTGTTGGACATAGCCTGGACACAATCACAGAGTGGTTTGGTTGGAAGAGGCTTAAAGGTCATCCAGTTCCACCCCCTGCTATGGGCAGGGACAGCTCCCACCAGCCCAGGCTGCTCCAAGCCCCATCCAACCTGGCCTGGAACACTTGGAGCAGCCACAGCTGCTCTGGGCAACCTGTGCCAGTGCTTCAGCACCTCACAGGGAAGAAATATACAGTCAGTCCTTTGGTAAGGGAATTTTCTGTGCTGAGACATGTCTCAGAGAGGTGACAACATGAGGAGATGCCTGTGACATCTCAGTCAGGACCGGTGTAGTCGTTGCCTGTGGGCAGGAGTTGGAGTGAGTAGCTCGCTGAGTCTGTGGCTCTAAACGTCTCTCTCATTGCCACGAGGGACATAAAGCAGCAGTACCAAACTGTGCAGCACTTGCTCATCACACTTTCCATGAAGGAACCTTTTAGACAAGATAAAGAATTCATTCCCTTCCACAGGTGCTGCATTTGCTGGAAAAGTGATGGGATAAACCAGGCCATAAAAAGCCACTCAAACTTTACCTGTTATGCCTTTACCTTGGTGCTCAATATACTTTATATGACCTTAGAGTTTAGCCAATTTGGGTTCTTCTTAGAGAGTGTAATGTCTTCAGAGACCACATGAGTATCTTAATTTACCCCTTTGAATTCACTGGGATGAAATATCAAATTTTCCTAAAAGGCAAAGTGATAGAAGATGGCAAATACCAGGGGAGCATTTGTCACAGGTTGTCATCACTGAGTGGATGTTTGTTTATAAGTATGATTACATTATAGTCTGGAATTACCTTCTTCTAGAAGTGTATCCATCTGTCTATCTAAATTCCTCTTACTCCCAGGAGTTAGCAGGGGAAGGAGGAACTCACTGTTACTCCCAGGAGTTAGCAGGAGGAGGAGCTCAGTACTGCTCAAGGAGCAGCAGTATTGAGGTGTGTGTAACTAAGCAGTTGAGTGTCTGTCAAGCCTGGAGGACAGGACTCAATGACACTCATCACTGGCAGATTTTCCATCACTCTGGTTTTAATGGGATCACATTCAGGTCAAGCCTGAGAGTGTGTGAGAGTCTCACCTTTAAATCTGCAGGAAGGCAGTGTCTGTGCAGAGAGAGCCACCACTGTGCTCTCCAGATCACTGCAAGCTGATGGAGCACACTCAAGAAAAGAGACTTTGGTTGTGTTTTTAATCCATTTTGTCAGGAGTGAGATGTTCAGACTACCAGGAGATAGAGGCTCATGGCATGCTGAAAAAGCATTGCAGGCTCCATGGGGTTTGTGCTGCTCAGATTTGTGGTGAAAGGTGGTTAAAGTTGTCTCCATGACCCAAACACAAACATTTTAGCCAAAATTAAGAGTAATTGGGTGAAATTTGTAAGATACAGGAGGCAAAACTGGATGATGTGGCAGTAATTCTGTGAATGAATCTGTTACTGGTCTCTGCAAGTTCTGCCACTCAGTTCAGTGGGAATTCTTCTCCTTTCATACCTTGGACTTTCACAGAAGACACTGAACGGTTGTTTAATTTATTTGGTTATTTATTTGACCTCTTAATGCAACAAGTCTGACTGGAGTACCTGTCCCTGTCTCTTTTTCAGTCTGTGAGAAGTTTTGTTTGGTTTGATGGAGTTCTGGGATTTGTTTTAGTTTGATAGAGGTTTATGAGTCTCTAAGGAAATGAATTTCCTGCTGGCCTTGGGAAAAGACAGGGAGGGAAGGCTCTAGTTTGTGTCCTATCTGGGGAAAAGGCTCTGGTGTTGTCTCATCCCCAGGAAGGTCGTGGCGAATGTTAGTGGAAGGAGAAAAGGGAGATGAGGAAGAGGTGATATGATTACTGGAGTACAGAGGTTTCAGTTGCATCTGTTGCTCACTGGACACCAAGGCATGCAGGTGCAAGGGAGAAGGATGTAGGGAATTGCTCAGTTCTCGCAGGTTTTGGAGGAAAGCTGATAAGAGCTGATCAGAGCACTGGAGCATCTTCCCTATGAGCGCAGGCTGAGAGAGTTGGGGCTGTTCAGCCTGGAGAAGAGAAGGTTGTGTGGAGACCTCAGAGCAACCTGCAGAAGCTGAAGGGGCTCCAGGGAGGCTGCAGAGGGACTCTGTGTTAGGAACTGCAGGGACAGGACAAGGAGTAATGGGGAGAAAATGAAAGATTAGATCTTAGGCAGAAGTTTTCCCTGTGAGGGTGGTGAGACACTGGCACAGGTTGCCCAGGGAGGCTGTGGCTGCCCCAACCCTGGCAGTGTTCACAGCCAGGTTGAATGAGCCTTGAGCAACCTGCTCTGGTGGGAGGTGTCCCTGCCCAGGGCAGGGAGTTGGAACAAGATGATCTTTAAGGTCACTTCCAACCTTTAAATTCTGTGACTCTGTGATTGACATCTGTGCCTTGCCCCTTTAGGCATTTGCTGGAAGAGCAAGAGCTACTAATTGCAGACAGGCTGGGTGAAGGTAGTTGTGCTTTTCCATGCCTTCAAACATTCTCTGTGAGCTTTAGACATCTAATTTCCCTGCCTGCAGCCCTTCCCTTTTGTGTGGATGTATCTTGGCTTCAAGGCTTCTCTCAACATGAACTGCAAGTGCTCACTGTGTCCCCCACGGGTTGTACCCATCAGCAGGCCAAGGTCAGGCTCATCAAACTCACCAAGGAGAGGAAGCACCTCCAGAAGCTTCCTTCCAGCTGATGGATGTTAATTAGCCTCCAATTACAGCAGTCAAACAAATGGTCCTTGTGCCCAAGGAATCAAAGAGCACAACTGCAGTGAAACCTCTTTGTTGGTGCATAGCTGTGCTTCCTCTTCTTGAAATCAAAACCCTCTGTTTTATTTAGCCTCATTTTACTGACATATCTCATTTGCTTTCTCTTTTCCTGTTTTCTTGCATGATTTAGTGGTCAGAAGAAGCATGTGCAGCACATCTTACCCAGCGGGATGGCTACCAAGCTGCTACTCAAGGACAGCTGAAAGATCAACTCTATCAGGAAATTATCCATTACTTCGACAAGGGCAAGGTAAAAAGGGAAGGAAAAAGAGTGCAAATACGTTTCATGGCTTTTCCCTCTGACTTCTAAATGAAATAGTAAACATAGTTTGCATCCAGTGACCTTCAGGAAGCACTTGAAGATACTAATACTAAAAAGGAGTCAAAAGAAATCAATAGTACATTTATAACTGCTGTGTTAGGGTAAATAGATGTGCATAGGGTGCCATGGAGTCAATAAGAAAGTGATGCATGGAACTGGGGAGACTACCTTTTTCTGGCACTTCCAATAGCTAAGGCAGTCCTTCAGCTCCCCTTGTGTTTTCTTGTGTGCACAAAACCATTCCCCCAGGGGATGTCTGTGGTTCAGACCATAAATATTCTGGGATGAGGATGTTTCGTTGCAATTGCATCTTCTAATGCAGGAGGGATTTGCACTTGGCACTGCAGGGTGGGAAGGGGAGAGTTCTGGTGTTGCAGGTTGATGTGGTAGACAGGGTTGTATCAGAGTTTGGATATTTCGTACACAAAATAGTTCATACAGAAGTAGAGATCTCCCTATCAGAATATTTCAGAACCATAAACTTGGGGTTTTCAGAGCAATCTTTGTTGCATCAATATAGTGCAAACAGAAATGGCATTTCCTGGGAGAGGACTGGAATAGGAGTTTGTTTTCCAAACAAGTTTTTAGTAGAATCAGATCAGTATTTTCATTGAATCACAGATTCACTTGGATAGAAACTATAGTTTCTATCTATACAGGTTACAGTTCTATCTATATAGTTTTCTAGAAGCTATAGTTTCTCTCATTTTGATAGAAGCTTTGCTTAAAGAGTCAAATTTTATGACTTAATCCAATATTTTAAAGTTGTTCATCAGTGATGCTGAAAATATTGTCATTCTGGACTGGGATAAAAATTGTGCAAAGAGTAATCCTAGACTGGGATAAAAATGGTGATTCTAGAGTGCTCCCAAGTGACTGAGGGGCTGTGGAGGTGTCTTGGTGCTTACACAGGGACAGTAGTTTCTGCTGCCCAAGAAGCTTTTACTAACCTTTTACCAGTGGATAAGGAGAATCTCGTTAGAATTAGGGTCATAACAGGTTGCAAAGTCTATTTCAATACTTTGGAAAGGAAAAGGCAGAAGTCTCTTGGTTTTATTTGGTGGTTTTATGTCTTTATGGCTTCCCATTAGGCCTTTATGGTGCTGGTAAGCAAGTGGTGGGAATTGTCCCTCCTAGCACCAGGCCACTGAGTCTCAGCTGTAAATTAAGAGCTGCAGCATCTTTTACATCTCTACAGAAAACAGCCTGAAAGCTGTGCCCTTCTGATCTCTTGACACTAATGATCTCTTTATACACCCAGCAGGCAAAATCAGAGCCACAGAATGGGTTGGAAGGGACCCACAAGGATCATCCAGTCCAACTCCTGTCCCTGTACAGGACATCCCTGACAATCCCACCCTGTGCCTGAGAACATTGGCCAAACACTCCCTGAGCTCTGTCAGCCTTGGGGCTGTGCCCACTGCCCTGGGGAGCTGTTCAGTGCCCAAACACCTCTGGCGGAAGAACCTTCTCCTGATATCCAAACAAACCCTCCCCTGACACAGCTCCAGGCTATTCCCTTCCCCTCCTGAAGAAGTTCTATACTTGCTGCTAGTTGTTGTATACCTTGTGCTTTCTGTGCCACCTCCCTCACACAACATCCACATCCAGAGACCTGTCAGACTGAGTAATCATTCTTAATTTGGTCAGATTTTGCAGCTAGAAGTGAGAGAAAGCTCTGGCAGCTTCCAAGAGAAACAGCACAGGGAATGCTATGTTTGCCCATTTCCTCCTTGTTAGAGGAACCAACTGAATCTTTATTATTCTCAACATCTTTGGTGAATGATATCAAAGGGATCACTGGTGTTATTGCTCAGGGGCTTGGAGCAACCTGGGCTGGTGTCAGGTGTCCCTGCCCATGGCAGGAGGTGGAACCAGATGGTCTTTAAGGTCCCTTCCAACACAAACCATCCTGTGATTATTTATCCCTATTCTTTGCATACTCACCACACTTTTGTGTGATTTGTGTGTATGATGAGATGATTCGTTCCAGAGTGCTCTTTTTCCTAGTTACAGATATTCCTTCTCTTATTTTCTGGTCACTCAAGTTGGTGATATTTTTTCATACTATTCAATGAAAAGGCTAATAAAAAAATCAATGTACACTGAGAATATTCATCTTACATGAAGGCTCAAATGTCAGGAAGCTTCAAGTGGAGGTTTCCACTGTGGAATGAAGATAATCCTCTCATTTGGGATGTTCTGACATTAAGGTAAATCAGCTCCTTACATTTACCTGTGCAGTTTGCAGATGTTTTCCAGCAGCTGCTTTAACTATCCATGATCGGTAATTCACCCAAAACAGTATTTGCTGTGGGTTTTTAGAAGAGTCTACCAGGGCACAACCCAATTTGAGGGGTTTTGTACCACAGTTGTTCAGCTGTGTCTCTGCTTGGCAGTTCCCTCTGGGTTCATCCCACCAGTTTGATTCCTCTTCCCACAAAGTCAACAAGAGGTGACTTGTAGCTCAAGAAGATTCCTCACTTTCATTTCTACTTTTAATCTATTATCTTAGAAAACTTGCTTTTTTACCTATATTTTTTCCCTATATTACCTTTTCACCTATATTTTATACCTATTTTATGCCTATTTTACCTATTTTTATCTGTATTACCTTTTAACCTGTATTTTAATACCTCTTTTACCTAATTTTTTACCTATATTGCCTCTTCACCTACATTTTTATACCTACTTTTATACCTATTTTACCTGGTTTTTTAGCCTACATTACCTTTTCACTTATATTTTTATGCCAATGTTTACCTCTATTTTTTTACTTATATCACCTTTTAATGTATATTTTATACTTATTTTTATACCTCTTTTACCTAGTATTTTACCTATATTGTCTTTTCATCTTCATTTTTATACCTATTTTTGATACCTCTTCAGCTTGTTTTTTACATATATTACCTTTTATGCCTATATTTTTTACCTATCTTACCGATATTTTTGCCTATGTTACCTTTTTGTTTCTATTTTATACCTATTTTACCTATACTTTTTACCCATATTACCTTTTTACCTATATTTTTATACCTATTTCACTTGTATTTTTTTATATCTATATTTTCTTAACCTATATTTGACTTTCGGTCCTTAACCCAACTTTCCTCAAGGCTGAGCAACATTTAAGGTTGAAAAAACCTTTGCCCTGTGGTGGATGAGCATTTTCAACTACAACTTCAGCATTTTAGTGTTCTTTATGGATCTGATTCCTCGTTAGTAACACTTACCATTCCTCTTCTCAGCTCCTTGTTTCCACAGTGAAAGGTGTTTCCTTAGCCTAGGCATTGTTTTCTCTCCTAGATGATTGTTCTTCCTGCACTGCACTTTCCAGTCTCATCTCCATCTCTCTTGGCTTTTGCCCTTAAAAGCCTTATCCTGGTGCTTATCCCAGCAGTGTAAACCTCCCTTTGAACTGCTCTCAAGTGTTTGCTCTCTCTGTGTTTTCCTGAGGCTTTGTGATTTCCAACAAAGCCCTTAATCCAAGGGCTTTCCTGGAAATTGGTAGGTTAGAATATCCCAGGACCTGGAGGGAAAACAGCGATGGCAACAAAGGGATGATGGAGGGATGAAATCCTGTGTGGAGCAGTTGGTGTTAGGCAATGCTAATGAGCTCCTGAAGGCAAAGAACACTCAGTGTCCTTGATAAGGATAAGGTGTGATTTTATACAGTATTTATGTAGTATCATGGAATGTTAAGGGGTTGGAATGGAGCTTAGAGATGATCCAGCCCCAATACCCTGCTCTGAGCAGGGACACCTCCCACCAGAGCAGGTTGCTCAAGGCTTTAGCCAACCTGGCTGTGAACACTGCCAGGGTTGGGGCAGCCA